AGATTATTGGTATGGCCATTTCTTGAAAATCACAGAAAATCAGTTGGAAGCTAAGAAGTATTGTAGATTACATATCTAACCCCCTGGACTGGAGGGTTATAACTCGCTCAACAGCAAATTTGGGCGGAAAAAACATGGATGTAGTGAAGTTGACAACTCTTTATACAAATAATGTGTAGAAAACATGGAGCAGAGATATGCTCTCAATATTTATATATAAATGTATTAAAATTTATGGCTGCTAGTTATAATTATCACATATGACAATGCCTTTCAAAAGATTTATTTGTAAAACTTTCCACACATTGTGACTAAGGATGAATCAGATTGTTCTTTGAATTAAAAGAATTATTTCGGTAGATACCACGCTACCAGTGATATAGAACACATTCATCCGTTCAGTTGAGCACGCTTATACATTATAGTTCAGTATTATACTGAATGTGACACAGCTGCTTGTTTGTAAACTGATACTCCTACAGTTAGTGCCTACTATCTACACATAATCTGCATGTTTATCTCAGGCAATTAGGAAAGCAATAAATTTGTTAATTTATATTGCATTAGCTGTAAGTTATTGCCAGTTTCCCACAACTGAGTTTGGAGGATGTATTACCTGATGTTTTCTGGCTCATAAACAGGTCTAGAGTGTGTGTCGGGCTACATGTGTGATGTGTTACGCATGTTTGTAGACATATCTGGCGTGTTTTTACCTTATCCATCAACACCCAACCATATATAGGTCTTATTAGGGCAATAATTGCTCAGTGATTGTCGAAAAACACTTAAAATAACTAGGGCTTTAATTTTTGTGTATTTGAGAGGTTAGATATTGAGAATGTAATGCCACCATTGTTTTTTTAGCCCTTTATCAGATCTGTACAGGACAAAGGCTAGACATTGTGTGGATGTACCATTACAGATCATCTTTTTACCTATGTGTAAATGCTGACACTCCAAGCATTATCTAGTTGACTTAAGTATTTATCACGGTATAATTCTTCCCTAATTATAACAGTACAATCAACACAAAGCTCTGGTATGTAGTGGTATGTGGGTAGACCTCACCTACATAATCCTGAAATGTACTGAATGGAGTCAATCCTTGTATACACCTGAGCTAGTTACTTTTAGTATGACATTATACTAGGCTACATAAAACGAAGTACTATCATATTGTATACTGTTACTTAATAGATTAAGCCATTAAAGCTAAGGTTTGATTATTAAGGTTAATTTCAATCCTTTGAACAAAAGTCTGCTTTTTAAATACAGTCTGCAATACCCTGGTCAAAGTGATGGTTAACCTGATTTCAGAAGCATAACTTACATATGGTGGCTGTGAAATGCCCAAAGGAATTCTTCTACTGTTCAGATACTGCTTATCAAGATCTAACAGTGCTGGCCTGGCTCCCTTCATACTGATGTGATATATATATATAGTCATACATAAATCTACATGTACCACAGACTTACAGTTGGGAATTTTCTTGTATTACAGGCATAGAAGCTGAAAATAAAAAATGGTATAACAGAATCTTAAAACAAGTTTCAACAGTTCATATCCTCCATAGACCACAGTATTAGCACTTACCCGTGTCCATTAGATATATATATAGTGGTATCATAAAGTTTACGACTGATCAGGTTAAATACCCCACCTATATATATTCAACTAGACTGGAGTACCTGTAACATTTAATGTGACAGCTCTAAAAGGATGATTTTATCTCCAAGTACCCAAAGGTACACATTTTAACATAAGTAGCTGCCTCACAGTTATAAGGTCAAGCTGATTTGCAAATGATCCTTAATGTTTTCCTATCATTAAAAGTTTTTAAAAAAAAGGCTTAATAATTGCAGATCACTTGATAGCAAGAAGACTGTATAAGGAATCGTGGACATGTTAAAAAAACTATTAAAATGCATACAATATATCTAAATCTGATTCTGTCTTTTTTGAATGATACAAAATAAAACTAATTTTACAAACATGATTATATACTCCAATGAAAAATTTCTCCATATTACTTCAAAGTGAAACCTTCCAAAAACAAGCCTTCCATTAGCCAATCAACTTTAGAATCTGAACTAGATACCCAGTAACTGTATGGAATAATTCCTTTTTCAACTTAGTATTGAAAAAACCCTTATGAATAGCCCATATCTGTACCAAAATTTGTTAGAATATGTTCAATTTTACCTCTGAACATCAGTATTTACCTGTGATCAGCAAAGCTAGCTCAAATCATGACCAAACCATAAAAACAGCACACCTGTTGAAGTTTGCCGAGAGCCTGAAGCAAACCATTACATTACTGGTGTACATATGGTCAAGCACTCTACCTACCCCAGTACCTCCATATTGTGTAACTCAACAGTAATGTGATCATATTACAATTTACAGATAGAACCTGAAACAGAGACTACAAAACAAAATCATACACAATAATTCAAATACAAAAATGGTGTGTACAAATATTCTGGCAATATTTTACTATCGAGATCATATCATTTGATTGAGCATCAGTGGTAAATTACAAATTAAGTATATATATTGAAACATGTTGCATACATCAGTCAAAATAGGTTATGGGTACTTGATCCCTATCAGATCAGGGTTAGGTTTTCTCTCAGATTACTCATAAAGTACCAGTTCTTTATATCATCTCAAGAACCTACACATAGTCATATTATAAGGTATTGTGCATTTATTCATTGTCTTATCTTTTTCAGAAATAGACTGAAAAATGTTTAAGAAGAAAGGAAAGAAGATAGAAATCTCTACACCATCCAACTTTGAGCATCGTGTGCACACTGGCTTTGACAGGGATCAAGGGAAGTATGTAGGCCTCCCCCCACAATGGACTGGCATTATCATACCAGAGGAAAATGATCGACGTAAACCCATCATAGATCCATCCACCATTACACAGACAGAGATCCTCCCTCTAAAGGTACAAGATAAAATTGTAACAACCAGGCATTGTGATAACCAGTAACCTCAACCTTCCAAATACTTCAAATAAAATTAGAATAAAAATTAAATGTTTGATATGATATTTATTTAAGAAAATGTTTACTTTGTTCATGAATGAGGTTGAAAAGTATTTGCAGTTTCTTGTAATTATTGTTTCATTTCCAGACAATTATCAGAGGTCATTCCACACAACAATTAAATGGCTTTGCTCCATCAGACAGTAAAATTTCTGTGGCGAGGTCCAACTCTTTACGGCAGAGCAGCCCACCACCACAGAGACAGAGGTACGTTCCTGACAACATGTATCCACCTGTACCTGAGAATGATATGCCTCCTCAGCGAGGAATGCAGAATCCTTATGGACAGCGCCCAGGATATGGTCAGTCACAGTACAGACAGGATGGGGGCACCCTGAACCGACAAGACCCACAATATGATCGGCGTCACCCACAGGACAAGGAGCCCCGTAGAGAGTACAGAGATCCCTGGGATAGGGATCCTAGGGATGGGAATCCCCGTGACCCAAGGGACATGCATGACCAAAGAAACATGCGTGACCCTAGAGACATTCCCCCAGAGTATCGTGGAGGTCCTCCTCCCGGTAACAACTACAGACCAGACGGCACAATGGAGCGAGATAGGAGATCTGAGGACAGTTATGATAGACGGCAAAATGACTCTTTTGAAAGGAAACATAACGAATCTTTTGATAGTAGGCGAAACAACGAATCATTTGAACGCCGACATAATGACTCATTTGCTTCCGATGGTTATCGTGACAGACCACCTCAAAACATGCCACACCCCAATGCCAAATACAATCAAATGCCAGCAAATGGTGGCCACAGCCCCTCGGCCTATCCGCAGGATGACCACAGGCACAATCAGTTGTCTAATGGAAACTCTATGCACCCTCAGGGTGGCCCCCAGCGACACCATCCCTCACAACACCACCCTGACATGCCGTATGGTGCACAGAAGTCCACAGCAGGACTACAGTACGAACGGGTAAGTTTACAACGATATGTCAATGTAATGTGTGTGTTAATGTGTCCTGTTTTGAGGCATGAATCCCTATGCAGTTTAATTTGATATGTGTACTTAATTGCTTTCAATGGAAATCTATCTGATTCAGGATATATATACAGATATATATATATATATAT